AGTGATTAACAAATTTTCTTAACGTAAAATCAACCAATAACGATAATATTAGAAATTCGCACTGTATAAACTATTTAATTATACATGTACATGTGTTAACAAATCTTATCTATATTCAATTACCCTTACCATTACCGTTGCCACCATTCATGCCACCACTCATAGCACCATTCATAGCACCATTCTTGCCACCATTCATGCCACCATTCATGCCACCACTCATAGCACCATTCATGCCACCATTCATGCCACCATTCATAGCACCATTCATGCCACCATTCATGCCACCATTCATGCCACCATTCATAGCACCATTCATGCCACCATTCATGCCACCATTCATAGCACCATTCATGCCACCATTCATGCCATTGCCGTTCATGACTGGCATCATGCCAATCGGCATAGGTTGTTGGACCGGAATAACAGGTACGAGAGGGTTAAAGCAGCCCATTCCATACATGCGTGACATAAAAAAACATCGTTTAACAAAATAATTTTTGTGTGATTCCGATAGTTCTTTAGGCATTTCAGCTAATGCAGTTGGAAGACTAAAAGATTCGGTTGAGAGAACAACGAGAAGGAAATATATAAAGAAGAGGAATTTCAAGATACGTGAGAAATGCATTTTTTTTTAATTTTTTGCTATTAACTTTAGGTTATGAAAATCTGTATTGTTGTGGATTCTGCTGTTTAATATGATAAAAATCACTGCTTCGATCGGTTCGAGACAATCGAGGATGGTATCAACAAGTATTTGAAATTTGATGATAATAATAATTGTAGGATTTAGCTATCGTTATATGTATTTTTTTTGAATTATTGAGTGGTCTTCAAAGGTAGGAGAGTAAAGCTATTATATACCTGTTTTCAAGTTGACAAATATGCTGAAGGGCTTATTTTATTTTGACAAGAATTAAGATAAATTAACAAAAGCCATTTCTTTATCATTATTTACAACTCTTGATTGAAATATTGATTGTAAAAATGAAGTTATTTCATTCTATTAAACAATTAAATGTTAAGAAATTTCTAAGTCCTTCCGTAATACTGTGTCGTATTGATACCAACAAAGACACAAAATTGTGGATTTACTGTACCGTTTGAAAAAATATCATCTTTTATGCATTTCTTTAAGATAGCAAATAATTTATAACTAATGACTGTTTATATTTAACTTCATTTTCTTTGGGTAAATATTTCATATGTATAAAAAAATCCTTACACCATCCAAGATATAGATAAAAAATGTTAGTATATTGGAAATATACCAGTTATTTAAAATCTGAAACATTTAATATGCTTGAGCAGTTATATCACGCCTAATATTCATCAAGATACTTATGCACTATCAACATAAATAATTAAAATTACCACCAATAACATTCATATTCTTTAATGATTCTTTGATGGACTTGGCGAAGTTTTCAAAAGGGATTGTTGAGGCGTTTTTTGTAGACGAATTATATAAAGCGAATGTGTAAAGCTTCATGAAATTGAGGGATGCCAAAGCCACTTTTGAGCCTATTCCAAAGTATAAATAAAAATATTATTAAATCATTTGTAATACATGGGAAGGTCAGCAATAAATAAAAAAACTTTCTTTGACATACGTGTCAAGCGCAAATCTGAATAGTAATTTTGTAAGTCAATTATTTGAGCATAATTTTATCTAGATTTCAATTCAATCTATAAATGGCACTATAATGAATTATAATTAAGTTAGGGTTAAGGCCATATAACTTTTAATCCATGGCACACCAGATAAAACCAAAATACCGTATTTCTCCGCAAATAGTACTCCGTGTCTCTTATATTTGGGAGCTTAAAAATTGATTATACCCCTTGGGTACGCTGTGTGGGTAAGAGTATTTTAAAATGGTGAGGGGATATTTAAATGAGGGGTTATAGCATAAACTGTTCGTACTGTGCTGTCTTGTTTGTTGTACATGCATTTAGAAATCTTTAAGATAACATCTTCAAACCAATACCATAACCCTTTCCAATACAGTATAGTACAAGATAGTAGGTTCCTTGGTTGTACCCAGTCTTTTACAATTTTACTCAGAGACAACCTTGATTAATCCTAGGATACAACTCACGGGGTGATTTTATCAAGGGGGTACTACTGTATTTGCAGAGAAATACGATAATACCTGTTGATATTAAATATATCTTCATAAGTCACATATAACTTTTTGTATCTCCTGAGAATATACTTTACTGATTTTATAAATGTGATACCCAATAAAGTGTTACATACTCAAAGCATAGAAGTATTAGTCTACAATATTAAGTCTATTGTCTTGCATAAATTTCAAATTAGCTCGTTAATTCTTAAGAAATTTTCAAGTTTAAATCTGTCTCAATCTAGTCACATAGTTCGTGAATACCATGTATCTAATAAAAAGAATAAATGGTAATAAATAATACAATATAACGAAAAAACTTCCAGCCTAAGAGGTTCGTTGTATCGAGGTTTGATTATTTTGAACAGCGTAAGTGTTGGTTGATATTGTTATGCCAGGTGATCTCATATGAGAATCTCTTGGAGGAGATCCGATGGCGACATAGCAACGTTATGGTCGCGCCTAAAACTCGATAATATAGAAGAAAATGTGAGCTAGAAAGAGAGCTGGAAGAAAAGAAACAGGTTCTTGAGGAACTATCAGCATTATAGTATAGATATTCGCGCATTTTTGTCAGAGCATATTTTTAATAAAGCGTACGTACTAGTTGACATCTGAATTGATTGTGAGAAGTATATAGAGATTCCGTATATCTCCGAAAATAAGCTATCATTTTTGACATCATTTTAGGCTTCAAAACATGGGGTAGCTTATTTCGAGTGTTATTTTCCGGTGTTTGATTTATCAGTAAATCTTAATCGATTTGTGTCAGAATTTGACATTGGGGAAGCGTGAGGTTAGCGAAGACTTATATAGTATAATTTTGATTAAATAATGCATTTTCAAAATAACATAAATAATGTGATAATGTACGTAATGTGATCTACTAATAAAAATATGATTAACGTTAAAGAATGGTGGTAACTTATTTTCGGGACATGGCATTTACACCGATTTATGCTGAAATAGACAATTCATATATACAGTCGCAGAAAGTAGTTTACTACCATATAATTAGCCTCCTTAAAAAGGTTGGTGTGAAAATATACATTGTATTTTTATGAATCTCTATCCCGAGATGTATCCTTGAAAGCCGAAGGATATCAATTTGACTTAGGATTGCGCGAAATTTCACCAAGTTGGCGAGTCCTCGCCCATTAAAAAAAATGTTTGACTTAAAGAATTGCACATATTAAAACTGTACATAAAATAACATTACTAATAATAATTTTTTGACATATCAAATGGCATTGACATGAAAGGAGAATGTATCATGCGTAGAGCGTGATGCCTTACTCAGAAGCAATCCAGAAATGAATTTTTTGTGTAGTTGATCTTTAAAAACTTACCGCCATTACTTTCAGTACGGACTGTAATTCTAGCGTAACTTTATAATTTCGTCCAAACTGACAATATATGTATTCAATTGAAAAGAATATACGAGCTGATAATTGCACCGATAAGATTAACTCAAGTAGAAAAAACGAACGAGAGTTTATGCTTATTGGAACCCAAATTGGATCAACCTATACAAAATCATTGAAAGTTTACAAGAGTACGTATAAAATTTTTTTAATAATTTTTATTTACTTATAATGCTGCCAAATTGGTAAAGAAACTTCTCTTTTCAATACGTAGTACAGTCATCGTTCACATGTGTTTGTAAAACGATTTATGCATGAAAAATGATACGACGTGTGAACATGATGGACGCCCACAAGATGAAGAATAGTTAAAATTGTCATCAATTAATACACATTACCCACCCTCTATACGTACATGGATTCATTTCCTTACTAATGCTAACACTTTAGAATACCTTTTACGTGATATTGAATTACTACATGTAATTGGTTCGCCGCAACCGATACCAAAATGCCTACACATACGTGCATAGTAACACATGTATACGTAGTTCATAATAAAGAGTTTTTTAAAAGCTTCATTAAAGTGAACTTCGCTGTGTATTAATAAAAAAGAGTCGACTTTAACGAAGAATTCGCATTAACAAAGTTTTTAGTTGGAACGGGACCCTTGTATATTGATCGATATGCAAATTTTTATTTAGATTCGATTTGATACTTTGAAACTTTATAATATTCAAGTTTATTTGTTTTTTGACTGAATAGAATTCGCAGAAAACTTCTAGACACACGCAATTGAAGTTCAGTAGCCATTTTAATGTCATCTGTGCATATCGATATCGATATGTTTTGATGGATACAGTATTTACGTTTAACACTTTTTTTCTTCTAGCAAACTCATAAATTTTATCCTAATACCGATACGTATAGCGCTAACGCTAATTCAAGCTATGCCGATATGGTAAAAGGAATACGTGCACATGTTGGTTACATTTAAACGTGCAAAGATTGATGACTATGACTGGGTATTAAAAACCGAAACTGGAAATGAAACACATGAAGAAAATCTCATAAGGAATGCACTGCCATCTCACCAACATTTATAAGAGCCAGTTTTTTCAAAACTACTACACTAAAAAAAAAACCAAAACCACACAAAGTCTTGAGGAAAAATGGCCTCCAAACCTGTACTCTTATTAGTGAGCTTTGTCTTATTCGCAATAATTGCGGTAACAATGACCGACGCTATACCAGTGATCCCTGTGGATAAGCCCGTTCACGGTCCAGGTTTCGGTCATCCAGGTCTCGGTTACCCAGGTTTCGGTTATCCAGGTTACGATCCAGGTTACGGTTATCCTGGCCCGATTTACCATATCGATACTCTTAACAAGCGCGATAACGATAATTTAAATATAATGTGACCTTAACTTTTTATCGTTATGTATACAATTTGGTTTAGCCTGTATGTTTTGATTCTGCAAACAAAATGGTCAGTCAGTCAGTACTAGTACGTAGTAAACAATGTCAGTAGTCAACATCATAGGCCAGGGTTGAGAAATTTATAATTTACTATCACTATACTTATGAATTCGCGAACGTACACTCGCCTAATTACATACACATTTCTGTAAATAATACTATGGTTATCCTTTATACATTACATGGTAGCGGTAACTTAACGTTAATATTAAAGTCTGCCAAAATTTTATTCCATGAAAATCATAACGATAAAAAATAACTTGTATTTACAGCAGTACTACATACTAATACCGATACGACCTCCACAAACAAAAGAAGGTAAATAACAAATAAGAAGACAATAATTCATTGTGTTTTAACAAGTGTATAGTAATAACAACATAAGAAAAACACAATAGCGTCATCATCGAGTTCAGAATTTAATTTCTCGAATTTCCCAAACACGTTTCAATTACTGCCGAAATATAAGGTAGCCATATCTCATTACCGTTACGTTTATCAGGTTCATCATTATCAGAATCTCTGTCACATTTATGATATATGTATGTTGGTTCGGACAATGCAGTCCGCACAATTTTCGATGGAGGTAAGTGATGACCTTTTTGAGACTTCTACGCACTTCGAGTACACCGCCGTAGAAATTCTTCTTCAGAATCTCACGTCTGATTCTTCGCTCTAATTTACCTAATCCTTTGATGTATTTGAACCAGTTCTAATTTTAGATTTGTTATGTTGGAGACGAGCTTGAATGTTGGCGTTACAACAAATTCTTGGAATCGATCGAGCACTAGAGCAAAAGATTCCCTATAGACTTGTGATAATCTATGTCTCTCGGCGAGTGCCAAAGCAAGCACTGGTGGTTTTCGGAAATGGGTTTCAATAAATTCTTTTCCAGAGATGGGAATGCTGTCAACCATATATTTATAAGCAGTTCCTGAATTATTTCCCAGCTCAATCGAAGTTCAAGCTCACTTGACGATTCGCTCTGGGATCCCGAGTTTGCATTCTCAAACATATCTTTGAACACAACCGATGCGCGCGTGATTTTTTTATATAGTAATTTATAATTATTTTTTATAAAGTAAAAAATCAAATATTTAGATTTTAAAGTTTAATTTCTAATAATTAATGATTTAATTTTGTTAAAGTTTAAAATATATATTAATTATATATATATATTTTAATATACTTGCTTAATACAAATTTATAAATTATATATTTATAGAAAATATATTAAAAATTTATTTTTTTAAAAAATTCAAAAAGTTTTGTTTTATTTAAAATTTTATTAAAAAATAAAATAAGAATAATATAAATAATTAGATTAAAATATATTTTTTAATAGTATAAAAAATTATAACCTTTTAATTAATAAGTTTATAATTATAATTAAAAAAATTTTACTTTTACTTTTTAATATATTAATATTTTTGTGCCAAATTATATATTAAATTAGTAAATAACTACTATCAAAATATTATAATATATTATAATATACTATTATTTTTATTTTTTTATTTTTTGAATAAAAAATTTTCTAATAATATTATTATCTATTATTAAATAATATATATATTTTGTATTTTTAGACATGTCTAATATATATAAATTAAAATAAAAAATATATATCTATTTTAGTAGTGTTCCTATGAACCGAACCAAACCGGACTTTTGCCCGGGTTCGAGTTCGGTTCAAAATTCGAACCGAACTCGAACCGGACTTTGGCTTGAGTTCAAGAAAGGTTCGAAGTTCGAA